TTAGTTACGGTCCAGACGTTCGAAATCTCAACGTGTTCTATGATTGCCGAGGTCGCAGCCTTAATATATCTGTTAGGAATAGATTTACTTGCATGATGCGTGGTTCAGAGACGGTTGGCTTTTACGCTGACGAATCGTTTTCGTCGGTTCAGTTACCGGAATTTCAGCCATGTGAGCGTACTATGACCGTTCCTGTTCTTCGGAGGGCTATTCAGAGATTCACACCGAATGAGACCATAGAATTGCTGGAACTATTGAATGAGGGTTTTGACGTGGAGTATCGGATAGAGGAGTTTTGTTCGGCTTGTCAGAAATCCGGTGGGTTGTGTTGGTCTGGCACGAATTCTACACAGCCTTCATGCCTTTGTAAAAACATTGAAGCTCATCCGTTCATGTGCCCGGAACAAGGTATGTTCTTCATTTGCGCTGCATTTTCATATTTACCACAATTTATTTTCTAATTAAGTTAACTACAGTTTGATGGATCCCACTACAGTACCCAAAGCGTAACTTCTCTTTTGATGCAATACGTATAAAATTTATTTATTTTTTAAATTTTACTATCAATGGCCACAATTAAATCAAAGTAAAATGAATGGCAAAAATCAATTTTTTATATGATATTTGTTGCATGGTAGCGGATAGAATAAAGTTGGATAACGAACGAAAGAGCCTAGTGAAACTAAACCGTTAATTTGTGCATAAATACTGAATTAAAATCCTACTATAGAACTGTTAATTCACAAAAAATAACAATCTAAAAGCTTCAATTAATTTATTGATTCACAAAAAATTCGAGAAGAATTAAAAAGAAAAGTCTCAATTGTATTAATCAAGTAAAAATTTTTATAGCCCGTTGACAAGAGTTTAAATAATAGTGAAACCCTAAACCAACTAAGAAATTAGAATCGTAATTAAATTAAAAAATTAAATAAAATAAAATATAATTAAATTAAAAAATAAAATAAAATAAAATAGTTTTTTAATTAAATTAAAAATAAATTAAATTTTCCTAATTGAACTTAACCTCAAATAAAATACCAAAATTTCAACCACTCGTTTTGGTATCGTACAATTGAGTCAGTCAATTCTTTCTAAGGCACTCAAATTATATTATTTAATAATATGAGAATTAAGATGATATCTTAGCATAGTGGGTCCCTCGTGCGAGAGATATCTTGTAAATTTGGACATTCTTACTAAGTCAAAGATGGTGTGCATTCAGGTTCCATATTTTTCATACGGACACGACAATGGAACAGCCAAAAAAAAAATTTGGATGCAATGTCTTCAAAATTTTTGTGAATTATTTACAATTAAAAAATTTATCCTTTGTGGTTGATTTTTCATTTTTATAAATATTTTTATTATTGTTTTGAGAGTTTTTATTATATTTGTGATAATTATTTTTATCACTTTTCTTAAGTACAAAAAAAAATATTATTTTTGTGAGTAATTTACAGCATTTGTAATTATTTTTATCATATTATGAGAATTTTTACTATTGTAATTATTTTTATCATATTTATGAGAATTTTTACTATTGTAATGGTAATTATTTTTATTATTTTTTTATACTATAATGTGATAAAATTTCACATAAAAATGATAAAAATTACCACAAATAGAATAAATTTTGATATAGCCAAATTTTGGTCCCATATTCCCGTCCCTTTTATACCATTGCAGTCTTCGATCTTAGAAAAAGTCAAACCGTAGAATGGTCAAAATGACCTTATCTTGAAAAGTAATGAGTTTTTAGGTAGCAATTTGTCCTTGCTTTTGCCCACGGTCTACGGAAGAAAGTGCCCGGAATATACCTTCTTAGGATAAATTATAGTTTGTCCTCTTACAGTTTTTTTAATTTAACTTAGCGCCTGGTGTTAATGACTTTTGTCATATTGTCTCTCAACTAGCTATCTATTTCAACACTCATTTTTTGTAGTATTTTGAATGAAGGGTTTTTTTTAGGTTGGTACCCTATATAGGATTTGTTTGCATAAAATTTTTTCGATTAAAATATTTTGTGGATAAATCCTCTTTTTTTTGGTTCCAAAAACACCCAAGGAGATAACTTACACAGACACTTGTTTGTCTTTGGAAACCACCGGATCCATTCACCATCTCCACAAGATCCCGCCACTAATCAAAGTCTCAAAACTCGAATTTTCAAAATTTGAACAAAACTTCCTCAAAATTCATTTAGTTTTCAACCATACACAAACCACAATTTTCCAAAAATGAATTAAAACTTTCATATTTTAATGGGATAATGAATTTTAAACAACATATTCTTTTCTTTTCCTAAAATCTCTCTCACATAATTATAATTTTTCTTTCCTAAAATCTCTTCCACATAATTATAATTTATCTCTCTTACGTTTGTATGTAATTGACCCTATCTAGAATTCTCTTCCCCTCTATTAACAGTAAATTCTAGCCTAAAATCTCTTTATTAATTAACTGAAATTACTTTCACTTTGCATTATTATAGTATAACGTAACATTGTCATTCATTAAAAGTAATATATTAAAAATAAGGGCCAGAGAGTCTCTCGTGGGCTAAAAAAAGTACAGCTTTAGGGGTTGGGGGAGGTTGTATTGTGTGTTGGGGGGTTGGTGGATCGTGGTCAGGTAATGGGAATTGGAAATCAAATTCTCAGATGGGGGTTAGGTCCAACCAAAAAAGCCTAGCTTGGGCAAATTAGCCTGCGTCTCTACTTTGATTCAACAGTAATCTTGGGAGCTCTATTCCAAACTCACCTTGGCCCAGTTATTCTTATTTAGGGCCTTTTACTCTGTATTTCTTGTTTTGCGTGAGTCTGTGGAGTTATTATTCTCTTGCATTCTTAAGGCTATCTACAGTAACCCAATCAACGGAGTAGTTAAAAAGCTTGTTCAATACTTCATCAAAATTGGTATTATACCACACAACCCTCTTTTAGCTAGGGTTATCAATGGATAATATTGAACGATATTTTTAAATTGTGTAAGTTTTGTTGCATTAAAATTTCTTCAACTCATAACTAAGTTATTTATTGTTTTGTAAGTTGAGCTCATATCGTTTCCGATTCGTATCATATATTAGTCGAGTTTAGTTAAATCTATGTCGTTTTTAACAATGTTAACCTATTTATTAAAAGAGTCTTATGCTTCTCTACCTATTTATTTTCCAAATTCGTCAAATCTGTCAAACCTGCTAATTCTATGTTGATTGCATATTGGTAACTTGTGAGTGAAAAGCTCAAGCTTTGCTTTCCTTTTAGGGGTCCCAACTCGATTGTACGAGGCGGGTTAATGTCGTGTATAACATGCTAGTAAATGGGTTTATAGGGGAAGTACATGAGTACCTAATCGTGTTAAAACCATCTAGTTAAAAAGTGATCTTAGAGTTAGGCGGGTTGTAAGAATCATATTTATATGTAAAACTTGTGAACAAAAGTATGATACAAGAGAAATATACGAGTTTTAGATGTTACAATCATATTGTATGTTATATCGGTATGGTAAATTATATTTTAGTTATACACAAACTGCATTGAGCAGATTGATGAAAAGAAATCCAAACACTATAAGTTTAATAAAGAGGCTAATCGGGTCTACATGAACCCAGTTAGCTTCATACAAACCCACTGATTATGTCCTATTCAATCATACGGAGGTAGCATATATATTGAGAACTAAGCTTTTTGTTTTGGATGTTGATTGGGTCGAAGCAAAACAAGGCTAGTAGTCAGCTTAGTGGGAAGAACTACGAAGTACAAAACTTCTGTTTGCGTGTATGTGTCTGACTCTGCATCAACGTTTTTGTCATCCTTCTTTTCTAGAACTTTCATTGCATGTGAAGTGTATGACCAAAGTCTCCCTCCAGTCCTCACTTTCGGTTTCACCAACCCTAACCGAGTCCCTCAAAGTCATGCACTCAAACCAAATCCCATTATCACTCAATTTTTATACCCCACGATCGTCCCTTTTAGGTATCTCAATTCACACACAGATATATATATATATATATAAGATGATAGCTAATGCTTTGAATTTTATCTCCACATATTTTTTTTTTCATTTTTATCACCTTCCGTATTTTTATCACAAGTTAAATTATTTATTTTTGATTAATTTGTGACTTAATAAAGATAATAGATATAAATTAATTTTAAATAATGTAATTAAAGAAAGAGAAGGAAAACAATTACTACTTGATATAGTGAAATCAAGTTTTTGGGTGCTCGGATATTATTTTGCATTGTGTCCTTGAGATACTTATCACCAAAAGTTGATTTTTTATGTCACCATTATTAGGCTTTTACATGCATTATTGCATTCTAGAAATAAACAGTTAGCTCATAATCAGGGGATATTTTCTTTCTTTTTTTTTTTTTTTTGACTTTCTCCTAAATTTCCAATATTATTACCAATTTGGGGTTTTCTGATAATTAATTTGCAATGTGACAAACTTTGGCTTAATCAAAAGGACCATTTATTTGTTTTTAGGTCGATTTTCGTTGTGTTCTATTTAATTTTGTTTTTATTTATCCTCCGTTTACGTTGTGTTTGTTTTATTGCAATTAAGCTTGCTGGCGGAAATCAAGAATTTGTTCAAAGAATGGGATAGGTTTCGAACGGAGCATTAGTCTTATTGATGGAAACAAGAAGTCGAATACAATCATTATTGAAATAATGAAAATTTCTATGCTCACAAGTATTACCACAGTGGACACACTAATTGATTGTCAAAGCTTTTACTCTGAGGTTTGGTGGAAGAAGCAAGCGGGTCTCTTTTTGTTGCTTTAAGTCTTGAATCAATTTTTTTTTCCTTCCTTTAGAGCACCATTATCAAACCTCTAATTATTAGCTGAAACAGAACAAAGTTGGAACTAGTGTATAAAAAGACTCCAAAACTACCAAGTCAAACCAACCACATAGAGTGTTTTTTCACCTAGTAGTTCCCTCCAAAGCTGATCTTCTCTCCTGGCCTTTTCTGCTTTCTTCTTCCCCAAATGGATCTCCAAAGCCTCCTCATATCCAGAAATATGTTTCACAATGTTCCTTTCATTTCCTTCTTCTTCTTTACCACCTCATTGGTTGAATCTCTATCCGTGAACTCAAAATACAGTGCCTGTGGGCCTCAAAACTGCGGTAATGGACCGAATATAAGCTACCCTTTTTGGATTCCTCAGCAACAAGAATCAAACTGTGGCTCCCCAGGATTCAATGTCACTTGTAAAGGCAATTATCCGACCCGCATATTTTCTGATGATGATTACATCATCAAGGATATATTTTACACAAACAACTCGCTTCTGTTAGTGAAAGCTGAGTTCTATGATGGGGATAATGAATGCCCACTCCCTAAGCGCAATTTTAGCATAGAAAAGACTCCTTTTAACTATGGTCCTGCCACCATGAATCTCTCCTTCTTCTACAATTGCACCGTGCCCTATGAAAATGCGACGTATGCAGTTGATTGTGGCAGCAACGCTACTCATCACGCTTTTGCTGTTTTCCATGCTGATCTCTTGAGGTACCGGAATTATTCAGCAGAGTCATGCCAAGATTATGTTAATGCACCTGTGGAGACTGATGATCTTAGCAGACTGTTGGATATAAATTTCACTGGTATTTTGAAGAAGGGGTTTGTTTTGCAATGGGATGCAGTTGATTGTAGGAACTGCCGGAGCAGTGGTGGGAGTTGTGATTCTGACAATAAGAAATTCACCTGTAACCATGGTAAATTAAACAGAAATTTGTCACCTGTTTTAATTAATAATTTTTTTTATTTTTCCTATTTTTATTACTAGTGATAGAAACAAGTTTTTGGGTCACTCATCTTGCCATATTCAAGATTAAATAAAAATGCAAAAATAATAATAATAATCATTTGGTAATTGTTACCTACTATGGTCTAGACTCGACATCATAAGACCTATGAGAACTACTATTTCTGACTTTTTTTTGTTATTTCTTTATCATAAATTTGAGTAAGTTGCGCATCCTACTTTCGTATGCAATCTCGATTCTTGTTATCTCAGAACCAGTAAATAAGAACTAGGATACAGACTAGATCATTAAGTTGTTATAGTCGATAGATCTGATTGGCCAGGTTTTGACAATTCTCATGTTTGAAGTTGTCCTTCAGCAAACTAAGCTTGCCGTAGAAATTATATTGACATGAAATTATAGATTGATTTTTATACTAACATTTGCTATGATATTGATGATTGTTATTACAGATAAGGGATTGAATTTAGGACTGAAGATTGGCATAGGTAATATGCACCTTAAATCAGATGTTTTTTTTTTCTCACCTGTCCTCATTATTCTGATGCATAATTTCCCTTATTTCTTAGCAAATTTACTCTGTTTTGTTGCAGGTTTTGGTGCAGCGACAATCAGTGCCCTTTTCATGTGCCTTCTTTTCTTGATCTATCAGCGTCGAAACAAGAAACGTTATGCTGCTGCCTCATTTAACTCTCGAGACATTTCTTTGCATCCCTCTTCGATTACTGATCTTGAAAAGGATGGTAACTATTTTGGGGTACACATTTTCACCTATAGAGAACTAGAAGAAGCCACTAACAATTTCGATTCTAAAAAAGAACTCGGAGATGGGGGCTTGGGACAGTTTACCAAGGTAAGAAGAAACAAACACTACTGTTGAATTCTGTTTTCATTTGTATGCATCATATGACTAACAATGTGTGTTACTTTCTTAACTAGGCAAACTCCGAGATGGGCGTGCTGTTGCTGTTAAGCGATTGTACGAGAACAATTACAAAACTGTAGGGCAGTTCATGAATGAGGTTGAGATCCTCACACGTTTGCGCCATCAAAATCTGGTCACCCTCTATGGCTGCACTTCACGCCACTGTCACGAACTTCTACTTGCATACGAATATATTCCCAATGGCACTGTTGCTGATCATCTTCACGGTGAACGATCAAAACCTGGATCGCTCACATGGACTACCCGAATGAGTATTGCCATAGAAACTGCAAGTGCATTGGAATATCTTCATGCTTCTGATATCATCCATAGAGATGTCAAAACCAGCAATATTCTCTTAGACAACAATTTCTGTGTTAAAGTAGCCGATTTTGGGTTGTCACGACTCTTCCCAACCGATGTCACCCATATCTCAACAGCTCCACAAGGCACTCCTGGATACGTAGACCCTGAGTATCATGAATGCTACCAGCTTACTGATAAGAGTGATGTCTATAGTTTTGGGGTAGTCTTGATTGAGCTTATATCATCTAAGCCTGCTGTTGATATCACAAGGCATCGGCATGAAATCAATTTGTCCACCATGGCTATCAAAAGATCAAAAATCATTCATTGCATGAGCTTGTGGATCCATCTCTCGGGTTTGAATCGAACTGTAAAGTAAGGGACATGGTAAATGATGTGGCAGAGTTGGCTTTTCAATGTTTACAAAATGGGAGGGAAATGAGACCATCCATGGGAGAAGTGTTGGAGGTTCTAAAGGGAATTCAGAACAAGGATTATGGCGTCCAAAACGTGGAAAAGGTGGATATTCTAGCAGATGATGTTGTATTATCGAATGCTAATCCTTTTACTCTTTCACCAGATTCAGTTACTGCAGTTTGGGTTAGCAGTTCAACAACGCCTAATGACAGTGCCTGAGACTTTGACTCATTTCTCCAAATTTGTGCAGTTTACTGGTAGAGTTTAAGCAGATATAGACCTTTCATCATATGCCAGTCTATGGTTTTTGAAGTCATTTTCCTTTCCTTTCCAAAAAAAAAAAAAAAACATTTTGCATTTGATTTCCTAGATTTTGATATCTTGAAGGATGTGCATAAAAAATAGTAGATTGGCAGCTATCTTTCCCACTTTCAATTGATTGATTTTTTTTAGTTTGTAAAAGTAATAAACATAAGAAATGTATTTGCTTTATTTCCATACATATTCAGCCTTCCTGATCAATTTAGCATTCCATTTCTGCATCATCCTCATGGTGAAAAAGACTTCTCTATCATGAATTTGAATTGACTAGAGGAAGCTCTCAAACTACTGCTACAGAAAATCGCTCTGCAGAACACAGGAGGATGTCTAAATGGCTTCAACAGGAAGATTATAAACTGTGAAGATAAACATAAAAAGAAAAATTATAGATTTAGGATCATTAGAGCAAGGCCCTAGAATTACTAACAACCCTTATCGATGGATCTAAGCTCTAGATTGGATGCATTTGAAGGAAAGAAGGAGATCAATGCTTTATTTTGACTCGGAAAAGAACAAAATACAGCAAGGAGGTCCCCGGTGCTTTATTCCTGAAAAATATGGTAAATAGTAGCATCAACAGAAGGCTAGTTCTAGCAAACATCCAAACCCAAAACTTCTCTTGTTTCAGATGTAAAGTCTGCATTATAACTCCCAAAAATCTTAGTTTTAGATTACTATAATGACACAACAGTTAAAGGTTCATTCACCTTATAGTATGTACTTGTGGGGCTTGCCTTGTTTTGATCATTAAACTTACCTCTATAATTATTTATTTTTTTTTTTTTGGGGAGGGGGAGGGGGGGAGGGGAATGGGCAGGGGGAGAAGAGGGCTTGAACCCTTGACCTTAAGAAGGCAAAACCTTCACAAGGTAAGAAGTATCATTAGACCAAAGGTCCGTTGGTAACTTACCTTTATAGGAAAAGAAGTTCTGAATTTAATCTTTGATATAAATTACTTCCCTTTCTTGAGGTTAGTAATCCTTGTTTTCACAAACAGAGTGGTGCCACTACATTCATGTTGGAAAACCAGACTTCATTGCAAAAATCAAAGCTAGTGTGAACTACCTCTCAGATTAATCCTTTAAATTTGGAAAATTTATTGGCTCTCAAGAATAAGAAATACCTAAATTTAGATCTTTTCATGATCTCGAGAGATTAAGATAAATATTCAGACATTTTGATTTCATAAACTCATAAACACTTGATTTCTAAAAAGAAACGATTGTGATCTTGTTAAAAAAATATGTGGAGAGACTCTGCTTGTTATAAGCTATACAAGTTGCAACATAGATTAATTATAAGGAAAATAATCAGTAAGTCCTATTTTACATACCAAATTTCCATGAAGTCCTATAAATTTTCTTTAGGACCAATAAGTCCTACTTTTTTATAAATGATTTCAAATAAGTACATAACCTACTTCAATTCCTATTTTACTCATAACAATAAAAATATTTGTACTATTTACTTTAACTTATAATAATTTATTACATCATAAGATATAAAACAAATATCCAAATAAGAACTGTAAAAACATAAACAAATCACTAACTTAATATTGATTTTAAGTTGCGAAAAATTATGAAGTGAACAAAATTATGGGATTTGCAATGAATATAATGCAAATTAAAAATACCATAATGTTATCAAACTTTTATTTATAAATTTTTAATAAATTATGATATATTTTAGAGTTAAAAACAAATGTGGATCCTACTTTGTGCCTCCAATTTTCTGAGCATTGCCAGACCAAGAGACCCCTTGAAGCCATTACCTACAAGGATGCCCAGGGAATACCATATCTCGAACCCAAGCAGTAATGATTAGATGAGACTCATTGGCGTCATAAGGAGCAGTTGATGGGACGGTTGACAGAGAATGATCATCCACGTCATCACATCCATGTGAAAACCAACACCAAATCCATTTCATAAAGGAAAAAAGGCATGGTCCTTTCTTACGTGGACCAGTCGAGTGGTTCCCCGGGTACATCCCATTGAATGCTTGGTGCTCGTCATTGAATGCTCAACGCCATTCATTTAATGCTTGGTAGACCTCATAAATGCTTAGGCCCCTAAGCACAATTATCATTAAAGACATTTAACCCGTGAGCCGCTGCACACTATCCCTGAGCCTAGTTAATGCATGAATCAAGGGCAGGAAGCTACTACTAACATGACGACCTAGACGTATATGTGGAATCACATGAGAGTTTCACTTCAAAAAGGTTATCAAACCTGTAGGTTGGATATGACCCACAAGATTCTATGTTAGTACCTTTTAAGGTATAAATAGCTTAAAGGGTTGGGCCTTAGGTACACACATGCAACTCATTTTACATAGTAGCCATATCTTCTCATCTATATGTTGACTGAGTTAGGTATTGGAGGGGATATGCCAAATACATGTCCGAACCCCTTTCTAACTTCATTCTCAGGAGTGTCAGGCGTGATTTAGCCAGGTGTCGCTACCTCAACGATTACATAGATTTTTTCACGTGCAATTTGACAATATATATGGGAAGATGTGACCACATTTCCCTCATAGGTGACATCATGGTGAATGCCCGTTTGCAATGCCATGTGGAGGATAACCCCAACATACAAAATAAGAAAACCAATTAGCTCCCAGTTTCATAGGCGACCAAGTCTGTGGAGTAGTCAAAAGAGGATACTCATCATAACACCCAACAATGTACTCAACACATTGATCAAGCCTCAGAGGGTGAGGGGGAGGATTCCTCTCCCAATAGCACATAGATATGTTCAAAGAACGCTTAGGCAGTAGATTGCATGAGATTGAACTCAGCAATGTCAATGTGCTAAATGGGCTTGACAAGTTCGAGTAGTTAGCTAGAACGTCCAAGGCAAAAATTTCCTCGAAAAGGGGCAGGCAAGCTTCAGTATCAACAAACAATGCTCTAGAGAGCATACACATAAAGACTTGTCCCTAGGCAGCAAAGAAAAAAATAGGGAATTGCAGTGTGGTCTCGTCTCGCCTCTTAAAGGCAAGTCCCCCATTAGGCATGGGTGGCACGAGGACGAGGCTATGAAGGACAAGCTTTTTAAGTCTTCGTTCGACTGAAGCATCTAAGAAGTAGAAATACTGAGGAAGTTTGTTGTCCCTTAGCTCAAGATCTACAATCAAAAGACCGACCTATAGGGGTGCCTTCATTAGTATAAGCAATTGATGCCCCTCTATGCCACCAATGACAAGTTTCTGTGAAGGGTTTTTCCCATAAGCCTCAGGGACATTACGATGAAGTGGTATGAGAGCGTCCTCTCTGAATCTATCAAATTATGGAGATAGATGACCTAGAAATTCATACCCCAATTTATCATGAGCATAAAATAGGGCGAAGAACATTGGTACCCTCATAACTTTAAGGAAAAAGGAGGGGTAGATGCTTAGGTAGTATGCCACCATATACTGGGAGGAAGTAAATGAGGTAGAGGGTTGTACTAAGGTGATGGCGGCTGCCTCTTTCAAGGTTGGGCATGCTTGGGATACAGTCCTCTATCGGTCTATAACGAAGAGCACCTTGGTCGGCATGGGGGACCTGATAGCTCGTAGAGAGAAATACGCAACGTTGAGTATGACAAGGTCAAGGCCCATGAAAAAGGGTTTGCTTCCATGAAAAAAGGAGAAGGACCAGACAAGCAAAAAAGGTGGCTCCTCAAAGTCTCGACTAAACTGTCTTTTTAAATGGCCATCGAAAATGTAAGGTGACCCACCTATGAGGAACTCTTTTGTTCAGTGTTCATACCATTGACACACAAGACACCTCATCGAGGACTACCGAGTGTATAAGCTTTTCTCGAGAAGCTGGTCAAGGAAGGTCATCTCAAGGAGTTCATTGATGATGAAATGACATGGGAATGCAAGAATCACTCCAATATGGCAGCGGGGGAAGCCACCATGTCATTGAAGTGATTTAAGTTTGTTCCCATAAACTTGTAACTCCCTACGAGCTATCCTATAAAGGGGTGGCCCAGGCCAGAAAGGTCGTG